CGGGGCGGGGACGCGTCCCCATCGCCGTGACTTACCCAAAAACTGTGGGGGAAGACGATCTGGCGCAGCCCGGCAGAGCTCGTGGAGCTTGGGGGTGTCCCCAGCCCCACGCTCCCCTGTCACATCTCCACCCCAAGGGGCTGCGTCACTACAGCACCCAAAATCAGGGGCTGGTCCCAGCCCCCGGGTCCTTGGCCAAAGCCACCAGCCCGGCCGTGATGCCACGAGCTGAACCAGAACCGTGCTCAGCCCACGGGCTGTTTCGGGTGTCTGGGGGTGCCAGCACCCCGCTTGTCCCCGCAGCACCCCGGCATCGCGTCGTGCACGGAGAGGAGAGGCGCAGGGCGGCCGTCAGCAGGGATCTTTATTGTAACGGGAATTAAATAACCGCGATCGCCGCGTCCTCCCGCCCCGGCTCCCCGCAGCACCGGGGCAGTCGGCATCGGTGGGGACACGTGCCAGCTACAGACATCAAAGCCAAGAGGGGTATCCCTGTTCCTCATCCTCCCGGGACACCCGTGCGGGTGAGGGTCTGACCCTCGCCTGCCCCGAAACAGACACTTCGTCCCCTCTCGCTGGGGCCACGGCGTCGGCTGCCACATCCCCACGGTGTCACAGCACCGGCACGGCCCCCAGACCCCTCTCTTCCCCCCCCAGCAAGAGATTTGGGGACCAGGAGAAGCTGATTTATCAGCAAAGGGAAAATAAATAGTTGAGTCCTGTCCCCTTCTCGCGAGGGGACACGAGGACGGGAGGGGCAGACCCCAGGGACCGGCAGGACAGCAGGGGATGGTCCGGTGAGGGGAAAGCGCTCCGGTGATGGGAACCCTCCATAGAGGAAAGCTGAGCCGGGGCCAGGGCGGGAACCGGAATGTGGGGGATGAGGGCAGCAGGTCCGGGAGAAGCAGGGAGAGGAGGGAGCCAGGCCACGGTGCCGGGGAGGGTCCGACAGGGAGACATCGTCGCTGGGACGGTCGGAAGCGTCTGGAGGAGGGAAAAGGGGAGATGTCAGCCCCGAGTCAGAGGGGCTGGGGGGGGAGGGGGTGAGGAACGACAGCAGAGCCCTGCGGGTCGGGAAGGAGCAGAGACGGCAGAGACCGACATGGGGAAAGCGCAGCCAAGCAGGGAGCTGAAATCCAGACCCC